GCCGCGGAACGTCCCCGGCTGCAAGGGACCCGCAAGGGTCATCCAAGGCCAACTGCTGGCCCTGCACAGGACAGCCCCCGAGGCACAGCGTGTGCCTGAGCGCGTTGTCCGAAGGCTTCTTGAACTCTGTCCGCCTGGCGCTGTGACCACTGCCCTGGGGAGCTTCTTCCAGGGCCCAAACACCCTGTGAGTGAAAAACCTTTTCTTAATATCCAGCCTAAAGCTCCCCTGGCTCAGCTTCGTGCCGTTACCGTGAACATCCCGGGCTGCCTGCTCCTGTGCACCTGCCAGAAGGCACAGCAGCACCGGCAGGGGATCCATCCCTCCCCTGGGCTGCCGTGGGGAGAAGGTGAGAAGCGCAGCTGTGACAGCGTGCCTGATCCAAGCTCCTGCCCTATGAAACACAAGCACGGTCGGCATGAGAGATACTGATGGTCCTCTGCCTCTCATCATCTGCAGGAAGTACTTGCTGCTTGGCTTCTTTGCACGCGGAGAACTCCGAGTAAGCTCCTTCCAAAATGCCGTGTGCAGCTGGGTCCGGGTTCTCTGCTGCGGGTGTGCTGCATCTCTGTCGTGATGGACATGACAGAGTAATGCCGAGCCCCAAGTAAAGTGTCATCTCAGGAAACCCTGTGAAGGTTTTACCGTGATGAAAGTGCATAAGAAGTATCACTGTTACCATCTCGAACCTCTGTTAAAATACAACAGAGGCATAAACTGACCGCAGCACTGAAGCACAGAAAAGACACAATCCAAGATGTCCAAATGAGTGTTCACAAAGCACAGGAATAACAGGTTTTTTCCTTTAAATAGCATTATTTCTACCGTTTTTCCCCTTCAACGGTAATGTGGGAGATGAGGGTAGACCCGAGACTCCTCTTCATCCTTACCACAGTAGCAGATCAAGATTACATTTTCTGAGGCTGAAAGACAATTATCCTCAGTTAAGAAAAAGGAGTAGGTCATAGACATGCTTTACAACAAGCTCCTGATAGGGTTGTAAGATAGCAAAAAAAAAAAAAAAATAAAACAATCCGTAAGGAAAATGTATATGAGCAATACACACATTTAGATTATTAATAATCCCTCAGACTTTGGAACAGTCGATGCCCTTGTGCAGGTAAGAAGGTGCTTCTTATACAGCCAGATGATTATGTAAGTGCAGGTTTTACCAGATCACATCAACTCCTCAATTCATACGTCATTGCATAACAGCTCTTACATTTTATACTTTCATAGTCCTCAGTAAATTCTTTTAGACTTTATCTACTATATATGCATATTCCCATGCTGCAGGGAGACACCGGAGGAGGGCAGAAGCTCCTGGGCAACTGCGTTCACCCAAACATGGATATTTGCATAGGACACTAGCTGCATGGTCCCCTAGCAAAGCAAAAGTCCCTACTCACACATAATATTGAAAAATTTTGGCCTAGTTTTATTGCTTGACATCACTTTTTAAACTTTCTGTATCAGTACTTACATTCAAACTGACATATATGAAAGCTGTGACAAAAAAAAAGATAACACTACTAGTTAGTATCTGAAGGGAGAGTGTCAAGAGGATGGAGCTGGGATCTTCTCCGTGGTGCTGGTCAATAAGACAAGAGGCAAAAAGAGAAACTGAAACACAGCAAGTTCCACCTGAACATGAAGAAGATCTTCTTTACTGTGAGGGTGCCTGGACTTCAGATGAGAATCCCCAGAGAGACTGCAGAGTGTCCTTCCCTGAAGTTACTCAAAAGCCATCTGGAAACAATCCTGAGTAACATGCAGTAGGGGTCCCTGCCTGAGCAAGGAGTTTGGACTAGAAGACATCCAGTGGTGCCTTCTAACCTTAACCATTCTGTGAACTCGGCTGCATACCAAAGATTTGTGAAATAACTTCTCTCCCTTTCCTCCCAAGCGAGAAGCAAAAATGAAATCAGCATTGGTTCCCCCCTGTTGCATGCTCACGCATTTGCTCTGCTGCATTAACAATGCCTACAACCGCACAGGTAGGAACAATGGAAGAAAACTGTTCTTAGTATGTCTACAGGAGGTCACCGTATTTTCAATTGATAGTCACAAGCAGACCCTGTAGATTTTTTTTTTTCAGTACACGTGGAGAGCCTTGAAAGTAAAAGAGACCAAAAGCAGAAGGGAGGTAGGCTGACCACATTCACCACAGGCACTGCGTTCGGTGTATTAGATGCGCAGAGATACACACCGCAACACCGTGTTACCGCATTAGAACAATATCCTGAGGCACCTGACGTCAGTTCCCCCTGCACGCATAAAGCAAACAGTCACATGGCATCACCGGGGTGTTTTCTTTTCCTCTACAGAGGAGATTCTGTTTGCCAGCCCCAGTTGAGGGATCGGCAGCCACCTACAGAGGCGCATCAAAGGAGGCCCCCCACAGCTGCAAAGGGAAACTGTCTGGAATTACACACAGACACTGCCAGCTGGGTGCATAAAGAACTTGATGAGAAATGGCCTAATGCAAGCCTGTTTCCAAGTGAAGCTAAAGCTCCACACCAGTTGAAGGGACTGGGGGGAAAGAAGAAAAAAAAAAATGCTAATTTTTCTGCACATGAAGTTTTCAGTATGATTTGATTCTGACTGACAGATTTCTACTAGCTGTCTTTTTGCCTATTCTGTTTTGAAATGAGTAGTACACACAAAATACAAAATTTTGTTTCTGTAAGAAAAGGGAGTTATGCGATGGATCAAGATTATACTACAATTACTATTGAATATTCAAGAAAAAAGACAACAGACATCACCACTGCTAAAGAAATTGTGGATATTCAAAAATTAAATTACAAAACTAAAATATCTGGAATAGATAAAGGATAATGATACATGGGATATGTATATAAACAGATATATGAATTTGGATAAAAACAAAGACCTTAGTTCTGCATGCCTGTAAGCACATTTGTAATGCCGTAATTCAATATACACTCCTGTCTCAGTTAGTGAAGCTGTTAACATGCAGAAAGTTAAGCAGGTTTATAAGACACTGGAACACTGTGCAACTTTCTCATTATTTTGAGGGGGTCCTAGAGAACTGCAGCTTTGAGTACTGAGAATTTCTTTGATCCTTTCATTAGAGAGTTACCTTCATCTTCTAACATAACTCCAAATACAGAAAGAAATCATAAGTTGTTGTATCATTACCTAAATTTTAAGCGAGTACCCAGGGAGAAAACTGGAGCAATTGCAATCCTTCATATAATAGGGAATATATTGTATAGGGTTTGCTGAACATGAAATGCCTTATGCACAAAAGCCTGTGCCTGAAGAACTCAAAGCTAGAAAAACTCTTTGAAGTATCTGTTATATATTCTGTAAACAGCCTTTTCTTCTATCAGCATTCTGCTCAACACTCTGCAAGAGACAGAAATTCAGCCTTAGAATCAGACTAGTCAATATCTCCCTACATCTCTCTGCTATGTACCTACAGAGAAACCTTGGTTGTGAGGAAAGATCCCTCATGCCAGATTCACCTAAGAGAGTCAAGAGCTGGAGGGGTTTTCAGGTGCCCCAGAGAAACCCCATAGCCCAGCCACAGACACTGGGAAGTCAGGAGAGGGTGCAAGCTGACAGCTCCCTACCCATCTGGGGTACCTTAATTTCAAGCCCACGCCCAGCTGTCCAGGCTTTGGAGTATGGTGTGGCTCTTTGGAGGTGGCAGGAACACCCTTCCCTTTCTAAGGCTCCTCAGGGTTGACCCTACCACATAAACAAATGCTTCAGAGCTGATCCCATCCTTAAATTGGCCTCCTGGCCTCAGGTGTAGCTTGAAGCTTTGTATGCCATGTGGTCTCTCTTTCTCCAGGAGCACAAACCACCATCATCATTCAACTTCCCCAGCCTTCAGGACTCCTCAGGAAACTCCTGAACCTCCTTGGTCTCAGAGGCAACTCAAGCACCATTAGTCCATTTTTAGAGGGGCTTGACCTCATCCTCTACCTGGCTCCACAGGTGGTGTCCCCAAGCCAGTTAGAGGATGGTGAATCCCCAGACCAGGTTGCCTTGTTCTGTGATCCCCTTGGCCCCCACAGACAACCTTACCTCTGCAACTACATGGTTTAAGAGGAGACTTGAGGGAAATTTGGATTGTCCAACTCTTGCTCAACCCCACTGACAGCTTCAGCATCCCAGTTTCCTGCTGCTGGTCACACACCCCCACATCTATTCCACTCACACCAGGCATTCAGTCCCTACAAGTCTTTGGGAGCAACATGAACCAGCCCTAGCCACTCCAGATGAGCTGCAAAGCCTAGGCAAGGGTGACTCAGGGAGCCTTCACCTACAGGACACAGTCCTGTAGGATCTCAACAGAGTGAGCAGAGCTGGGAGCTGGTATTGAGGTCCATCAACAGGTCCAGACTGCTGAAGGCAGGGTGATGACTTGGGTGGAGTCCATCCTGGAACTCCTGTCAGGTGGAGCAGCAAGAGGCAGGGCTGAACACAAAGCAGTGACAGTGGAGCAAAGTTCAGCCAGGAGACAGGAACAGAGACTGGAAACAAATACACCTCCAACAATATTGCTTGTAGCAAGGCTGAAGGCTCAGGCCTGAGCTTAAATGGATGCCCCAGGATATGGGAAGAGGATGTGGGTCAAGGTCTCAGATGACAATGGTCAGGGACATTAAAGGCTATTGATACATTCAGTGCCCCAACACCCTGTCAATGTTGTTCACTGGATGGGGAACACAGGGCTGGATGGGGAAAGATGCAGAAAGGAGCTCACACATTAGCAGAGTGAGAGTCCTTTTGTCTTGGGGACCATGTCTGGCTTCCTCCACTCTGATGATTTGGATCAAACACAACTTTTAACTTTTTCACATCCTCAGGATTTTAGAAGCCCATTGACAGAAGCAGGATGTAAAAACTAGGAGTGAAACACCATCTGCTTCAGGCCTGGCTGGAGTCTGCACAGAGCCTGCAGCAGGGAGGGCAGGGAAAGCCAGGGAAGCAGAGAACCTATCAGATAATTCCAAGCAGCTCATGAGGTGCAGCCCTAAATGGCCCATTTCAGGAAGTCATGGCACTTGGATGTGATGAAGTGATACCACTTAATGATATTTCTTATGAGATTAGCACAGGAACCTCAACTGCTTTGACACCAGGAAGCGATGTCTCTGTGGGAATTGTGGTTTTCCTTTGATTTCACAGACTGAAGGGTTCTGCAAGACTGCATCAAAGTAGCAGAGATCCAGAGACTTCTTTAAGGAGGAAGAGGATGAAAATTTGGGATTCACAGAAAGGAGGCAAAAATAATCAAAAAATGTATTCCAGTGTAGCCTGGAAGTAAATGCCACCTTCATGAAATACTGAAAGAGACTCATAGTCAGGGGAGAACTCAGACTGTGCCAGTGTGAAGGTCTTCATCTTCAGGAGCCTTAGTGGTTAGAGAACCACGATAACCATGATGGCTCTACAAGTCTGAGCAAATATGAACTCACAGTGTTATTCACCCCATTGTACAGAAATTAGCTTTGGCTTGGAACCTTGCTGAACAACTCCTGAAGCTGTCACATTTGTAGGACCAAGGAAAAGTTAACACAATCATGTGATTGCTAGGATTGCTGTTTAGCTCCTGCATGATGCCCTTAGAGGTTCTGTATGATGGGTGGGTCATCTGTCTGGGAACCAGGGAAGTGACTTTTAAAACCAGAGAGGTCCAGAACACTTGTGTATGAAATGCATTATAGAACTCTAGTACATGGAGAAAGGTTTTGCCAAGTTGCTTCTCTGTGCTTCTCTGTTCACATTGAGTGACAATGGGCTTGCCTAGCAGTCTGAAATTTACTGCCTGCTTGTAATGTGAATACAGTTTTAAACAGCTTCGGGTCCTTTCTAAGGCATTAGGAGTAACTCCAAAGATTAAAAACAAATTTGTAATTCATTTGGTTGAAAAAACCCACATGTTGTCAGGACTAACAAAGATTTGCGCAATGGCTGTCGGGGCTGTCAAGCCCTAACAGAGTCCTGGTGAATTCCTGCTGTAGTATTTATTGCCTGAAGGGTCACTGCTCAGTAAACAGAATGGTACATTTAAATTTAAGATTGCTTTTAGATTTTGCTACTCCTGGGCATGGGCAGGCTAAAGGAGATGATGGAATTCCTTAAAAGAGGCAATAAATTCAACAGGGCTAAATAATTTGTTTGGATTCCAGCCATGGCATGAAAGCTTGGAGCAAGAGAGGCAGGTTGGTTTGATCGAAAGGAAAAGAAGCTTTCTTCTTATAGTACAACCATACCCCTGATTACAGAGATGGAAATGAAACACCGAGGGAGGAAAGGGGAACAAGCATGAGAGAAAGTATTTGTTCAGCTCTGTTCCTGATAGTGGCAGCCAGAACTGGCAATTGAAACAATCTCCAGTGGGTTACAACTTGTCTTGCTATTGCACAAAATACATATATTCTTACCCATTTCTTCTAATTTCTGATGGACACACTGAAATTTTCAAACTTGTAAAAAGGAGTTCAAGAAGGCTGAATCTCTATGTCAAGTAGCATATTC